AGAGACCTGGGTCTGAGTGGTCCTTTCACCAGAGAGCCCTGCCCCCACTCCCCTGCCCAAGGCCCACTGTGAGGCTTTCTGAAGGTTCCAGCTGCAGCCTGGTTTGGCATCTGATGCCCCCACTTCAAGCCTCTGTCTGTAGCATCCTCCAAGCCCAATGATGCCCCAGGCCCTCCCCAGGCTGCCGTCTCTCCCCTGGCTGCCGTGCTTTCAGTCCTGCAGCGGTGCCCCGACCTGTCCCCACACAGCCTGGGCTTTGCATGTCACCTCTCCTCTCCCTCCCCTCTCATCTCTTCTGCCCAATTCTCTGGAAGATGAGGGGCAGCACGGGAGCCCAAGGAGCCCCGTCCCTCACGGCACAGATGGGGAGACTGAGGCCCAGCGGCCGGGAGAGTTAGGACCACAGCCAGGTCCCCTGGCACTTGCATGGCATCTGTTCTCTCTGTCCTTCCTGCTTCCAGCCACGCTTTCCCCAAATTATTAGTACTTCACAGATTCCATGGCCTAGACCTATGAGGAGGCTGACAGGAGACCTGTTGCACCCCGAGATGTTCCTCACAGCATGGTCTGACAGGTGGTGAGCTTCTCCACCTGGGGCCTGAGCAAGCCTGGGGTGGAGGGTATTGGGCAGGTGTCTGAGAGGCCCTTTGTGACCTAGATGGCACATGAGTGCCCAGAAGTGCTGGTGGAGGCCCTCTGGGTCTGTGAGCCCTGGAGCGAGGTGCTGAGTCGGGGGTGAAGATGGCTCGCCCACCGGGCCTCCCTTCTTCCCCCACAAGGTCCTGTATGCGGCTGAGTGCCCAGTTCAGGAGGCACACAGGACCAAGAGGGACTCTGTGTGGCACTGAGGACCTCACTGACAAGTCCAACCCTATTTGCTTGGAATGTGAAGGATTCCAGGGAATCACCCTTTCTTGGTTAAGGCAGGGAAGGTGATCCCGCTCCTCCTGCTGGTGTTGCTCCCCCACCCTCTGGCCCCGAGCGCTGTGCCTCCCAGGAGGCTTCCTTGAGCTGAAGGCACGGATACTACCCCCCAATACCCCGGCACACACCTGGCGTGTGGCCCTGGCCCGCGGCTGAGCACGGGTTCCAGCACTGGGTCTGTCTTGAATTCACCTGGGCCCTCAGGCTCCCATTCTGGGCTTCAGCTGTCTGACCTGGTAACTGGGGACTTTTGACTCGACCTCCTAGGGTCCTTCTTGTCTGAGACCTCCCTTGCTCACTCTGGGGGCACCCAGAAGGGAGGTGGGTGGGGCTGGAATCGGGACAGCATCTCTGGGGGCACACATGGGCAAGGCCACAGCAGAATGGGGAGCCCTGGGTGACAGGCTCCTGCCCACAAGCCTCGTCAGTCCTTCAAGCAGTCCTTCTCTAGTGCCTCATGGAGAGCGGCAGGGTCTCAGCACCTACCCTGTGCCGGGAAAGAGTTGAATCCCGGCACGACTCAGGGAGGGAAGGTGCGAGGTTGTGGCCAGGCTTCAGTCCATCCTGCTGACTGGGCTAGGGAGTGGCCCCAGGACCCTCCTGGAGGAACCGCTTGGCTCCAAGAAGCCCTGCCTCTCTGCCCCGTTGCTGCTGGGGGCCCCGAGGCATGAAGACAGTGAGAGCCAAAGTGGGGAAGGGCTGGGCAACCCCCCTGCCGCTCCCCCAGTGCCTGCCCCTGTCACAGCGGCTCACTGGCTCTGTGTCAGCATGTGAACCAGGCACAAGGGCATTCCCATTTTATGGACGGGGAAACCGAGGCCCAGAGCAGGACTTGCCCAAAGTCACACAGCCTGTGAACAAGGAGAATTGGCCTTGGCCCCTAGAGCCCTGATTCTTAGACCAAGTGCCTTGCCCGTTCTCACTAGTGTCAATCCCCTAGGAAGGAAGGGGCAGGTGGGTGCATAGATACCCTAAGGGCTCATGCTAGGGGAGGGGGAGAGGCGCCCCCCTTCTGCTTCTTCCTGCCCCGACCCAGTGTCCGGGACCTCGGTACCACAACCAGGGCAGGAGGGGGAGGGCCACGGCAGCCAAGGGGCCTCCCTCCACCTCCCACTCCCACCCCCTTTAGCCTGAGCCAAGTAGATTCTTGTCCCTTCCCTTCCTTGGAGACGCCACCTGCCTTTGGAAGGCTCTCCCTTTTCTCAGAGCACCCTCCCCGCTTCCCTGTGAGCTCCCTGACAGCAAGACTGAGGCACAGCCTCAGCACAGGCCCGGCATTCGGTAGGTACTCAGTATTCGAGTAAGGCAGTGGGTGGCTGGTAGAGTGAGCGATGGTGGGAGAAAGGGAGGGGGTGGGGGTGTGAGGCTGTGGGAAGAGGGGAGGTGGAGGAGGACCCTGAGCAGGGGTGAGTGGGCTGGAGCTGCCCCCCGCCCGGCACCAGGGCCCACCCCCCTCAGGGATGTGGGCCCCTTGCCACACAGTGGGCTGGGCTTTGGGATAAACCCACGGGGTTTCCACATTGGGCTGGATGCCTTCTTGGTCAAGCTGCGGTCCTGACAGGTGGTGGCTGTCCTTGCCACATTCTGCGAGGGGAAGGAGGAAGCCTGAGGACGTCCCCTGAGCCCAACCTTGCTCTGACCAGCCCAGTCGGCAGGCCACAGTGCAGAACCACAGAGTAGAAAAACCTTGTTTTATTCAGCCCAGGCCTGGGCAATCTTGCTCTGTGATATGGCCAAAATATAAAAAATAAAAACCAACAACCGACAAAATACCATTGTCGAGAAGAGTTAAGTACAAAATTGGGCCTGGCATCCGGAATCCCTGTGGTTTCAGTCTGCGTTTGCTCCCTGAGGCCGGCAGGGAGGGATGCCTGTGGCCTCCAGCTGCCCCTGCCTGTGGGGTGGGGGTGGGGGGGCCAGGTCAGTCCTGGCAGGAGGCTTCCTGGGGAGCCTGGCCGGCTTTGGGACGTGGGGAGATTGGCCGCCTGTCCATCCTCTGCGAGATCAGGATCTAAGGAAAGAAAGCGAGCAGGTCAACGGTAGCCCCATGGAGGCCCAGATCCCACGAGGGAGGGAGGACAGGCGCGGTGGAACCCTCAGCCCCAGCCTCCAGAAGGGGGGTATCCAGGCCTCCCCCACCCACACAGGGGCCGTCTCAGCAACGCCCCCACCTCTTGCCCTGAGTTCCACAGTGTTCTCTAGGCCATTAGTAGAGCTGCTACTGTCTGGGGACACCGTCTTGTTTTTTCTAACAAAGTACTTTTTTAAAAAAGCCTCCTTCCTCCTCTTCTGAAACATGACAGAAAGCCACAGGCGTCAGTCCCGTGGCCTTTCTGGGAACACTGCGTCCGGCTTCCTGTGCGCTGGCCCGGCCGCCCGCCTGTGGTCAGGGTACCAGAGACGCTCTAATAAGACTTGAGGCTTTCCAAGCACTTATGTAAAGGGTTTGGAAAGAAGGGCCTCCGCCTACCCTGGCCCGCAGGCCCCCGGGGGAGCCGGAGGGGGGCATGGGGCTGCTTCTCCATCTGCCGTGTTGAGGGGCCTAGCTCATGGCATGGCCGGGAAATGGGATGCTGTTTCAATCCACCCTTCCCACCGGCGGGCGGAACAAGAGAGGGATATAGGCTCCCTGCCTCCCTGCACACCCCTTGGCCGCCTTTTTGTCTTGTGTGCCCTTTCCTTCCTTCCTCCCTCTCCTTCCATGGAATTGCTTCCCAGAAACCCTCTACCATTTAGGTGACCCCTGAATTGGGAATGGCTGAATGAGACAGGACCTGAGGGAGGAGGAGGTCAGAAACCCAGGCGTACGAAAGAGCCAAGGTGCCAGGGATGGGGCAGGAGTCAGTTGTTTTAAATATACTCTGTGACCTGGACAATTCTGATCAAATTCAATTTATGAGGAATCTAATCTCTGTACTGAACTAGAGGCTGCTATTCTCATTTTTAATATAAATAGGGTGGTGGTGGTGGTGGTGTGTGTGTGTGTGAACAGTTAGCTTAGTGGTTGCAGCTAAAGGGTCCTGACTCTGATCACATGCTGAGCCCTAATCCTGGTCACACACTGAGCCCTGAGCCTGGTCACACACTGAGCCCTAATCCTGGACACACACTGAGCCCTGAGCCTGGTCGCACACTGAGCCCTAATCCTGGACACACACTGAGCCCCGACCCTGGTCACACACTGAGCCCCGAACCTGGTCACAGGCTAAACTTCATACCTGTCAATCATTAATAAAGATGTGCTTTTGTCTCTCTGGGCCTTGAAATCTCTGCCATTTGTCCCCCAGCTGATGGACTAAAGTTCTAGGACTACTGTTTTATTTTGTTTTTGTTTTAATGGAAAAGAGTTGCTTTGAGCTTATCAAACATTTTAAATTCCCATGGAGTGGGGTGGGGTTTCTTGGTGAGTTTGTAAGCAGAAGGTACCTCTGCAAAGTACTTCACATGGGGAATCAGGAGACAGACTGAAGACAGGCAGCCTAGAGCAGTGGCAACTGAGCCCCTGTCCCAGAGCCATGTGCCAAAGGCCTGGGCCAGAGTCCTTCAGCTTCTGGTATACCTGGGCCCAGGCACTGGTGGCAGCTCATCCCGACCAGAATCAGTTCTAATCTGGGACTGTTTCATTGAATCCACTTGCCAGAGACACTGTTGATCACACAGCTGCCATTCACAGAGCACCGCTGGGAAGGGTCTCCAACACCAGACATCAGGCCTTTCACTCTTGTAATCTCACAAGCCTACCTGGGAAGGGGCCTCTTTTGTAGTTGAGAAAAGTAGTTCAGAGAGGTGAGGCGACCTGCCCGATGTCACAGACAGACTGCCCCCCCCCCGCCCAAGTATGCTGCTTCCTGCTGTTGGTTCCCCCTTGGGAGAGCTTAGGGAGCCGCACAATCGGGCCCCAGATCAATAGCCCGCGGCTGGAGCCCCACCACGAGCACTCAGCTCGGGGTTGGCATGGACGAGGCTCCTCCCGCGCAGCCGTGTTTGGCTAGGAAGGTGACCCAGAGCGCAGGCACCTTGTGTGGTTCACGTGGCCCCCGCCTGTTCCCCAGGGAGGACAGGGGCTGGGGCAGCACTTACTGGACAATTTTGCAGTTTGTTGTAGAAACATAGCGACCTGTGTAGTGGATGTTGCATCTCACCACGTTGTTGGTGAAGTCTGACTCCAACACAATGTACTTCGGGTTCACATGGACCTGAGGAAGAAGGGGAACAGAGGGAAAAGGGATCTGGTCGGGGGGCTGCATTTCACCTGGTCACCAGGGAAGGTGGTGCAGATGCACACAGACAGACATGGAGGGGACAGAGAGGAGGAGACAGGAAGATGGAGAAAGACCACTTGAGACCAAGAGCTACGGAGACCGAGATCCAGTGACGCAGAGACACGGAGAGATGCAGAGCGAGGGAAGAAGAGAGAGCTCGTGGTTGAAGAAAGCATCACCAGGTCACTCTTATTGGAAGATGGGAAGCTGCCCCAGAGCCAGAGCCCAGGCCAGGGGGGCCCTGCGTGGGGCGCTCAGGGTGGGAGAGGTTGAATCACTGCCCCAGGGAACACAGCAGTGAATGAGGGGCCGAGCAGGTCTCCCGAGTCCAAGGCTGGCACCCTTTGACCACACATGTCCACTGAGATGACCCATGCAAGGGCTGTCCGCTGCCAGGTGGCATCTCCCGCCCTGGACCCAGGGATGCCGCACACTAAGAGGATGGCCCAGGCATGAGCTGTGCCTTTTGTCTGCAGAAGAGCTGTCGGGATACAAGGAAGCCTTCTGAATGCTGGATTCACTGGCTGCACTGGGGTAGGCTACACCCAGATTTACAGTTGCAGAACATCTAGGAACATGTTACTTTTAAATCCTTTACACTCCCCCAGGGCAGGAAGTGTGCATTACTGATGTGGTTTGAATCCGAGTGCCTGGAACTCAGAAGGGCCTTTGTACACATGTGGTGAGTAGATGAACGCGGGAAGGAGAAGAAGACCCCTGACACCCTGGCCCCTGGCTGAGGCTGAGCAGAGGGGCCGCCAAGCCTGCTGGGAGGCGCTGGGGATGGGGCTGTAACCAGAGGCTCCCAGGTTGCTGTGTTCCAAATGCAGCCTTCCCAGCAGGCGGTGTTCATGCGGCTCAGAGCGCCTCCCAAGCCGGTATTCACTGCTCACTGCTCCGTCTCCTGCTCTTGGGTGTAGAGCAGTGGGTCCAGGGGCAGAATGGTTCCCGGCCCTTGCTTCGCAGCTGTGTGGAGGAGGCCACGATGCCCCGGGCCCCGCGCAGCCTGCATGGACGTACCACACTGGGCTGTGTGTCCTTGACACGCTTTTCTACTCGCCCCCACCCCACCCCAAGGGAAGTGGCACTGGAGCGAGCATACACTGGAGAAGGGGCTCAGGCCAGAAGGGACTCTTGGTCCCAGGAGCCCTTGGCTTTGTGGGGGTCCCGGTCCCTTTGCAGGTCCCTTTGCGGGGGCCTGCGCGGGGTCCCTCTCAGAGCATGGCAGCGTCCTCCTGCAGATGGCACAAAGCCTCCCCTGTCTGCAGAGGGGGTCCACCGCATAGCTCTCCAAGTCCTCTGTCCCCCAGGGAAGACAGCCTCACTAACCTCGTCTAGAATCACCACACCTGAGCCCAAGGTTCCTTGTTGCCTTTATGGAAAGGGAGCCTCTGCCTGCTTGAGGCTAAGACCCTCCAACGGGCAGAGGAGACCTCCGCGTGATGGCCGGGACGTGATGGCCCCTGGCTCCGCAGCTGGGGACGAGGGGATGCCCTCGAGGCCGAAGCGCACCCCAGAGGCGGGGACACAGCAGGGGCGGCAGGTAGGAGGCAGCACCCCAGACCAGGAGGCCCACCTTGAGGATGTAGTTCCCGGGCTGCACATCGGTTATGTCAATCCACTGGCAGTCGATGTCCGCGTTGTAAGTGTCATAGCAGCCGGGGCTCAGGCCCTGGGAAAAGGGACAGGAGTAAAGGCTGGGGTGCTGGGCGCTCCTCAGAGGCGCCCGGTGCCACTCCAGCAGTATGGGCCCCTCCTTCCTCCCTTCTAGAGCCCGCTGGGTGGATGGACCAGACAGAAAATAGGCAGGCGTAACAGCCAGGTGGGAGGGACTGAAGGAGGGAGATGCCTGGAGAGCTGGATGGAAGAACAGACGAAGAGACAGACAGGCAGGATAAACAGACACTCTACAGGTGCCTGGACAGACTGACAGGAAGGTGGATTTGGGTGGACCAACAGGCAAAGGGACACCATGCCATCTAGACTTTGTTGGAATGTTCCTTTCTTTCTAGGGGCAGACAAGCCTGGGAGCAGCGCAGGAAGGGACCCCGTGGTGGCCTGCAGACCGGTGAGAAGACCCGTGCCCCCACTGAGTGGAGCAGCCAGGAGCCCGCACTCCTGGGTCCCCGCCCTGGCCCTCTCACCCGGCCGGACCTGTGTGTGAGAGGTGCACGCGTAGCGCTTGAGGTTGCCGAAGTCACAGGTGCTGTCCTCCAGGCAGAAGCTGGCCTTGTGGCCCTCAGCCACCTTCTTGCCTGTGGCTGCATCCAGCAGGTCATAGTGGCTGAACTCATCCATGCTGTGGTAATGTCTGGGGTCGAAGGACAGCAGGAGGAGAGAGAAGGGGGCCTAGTCACCCCTGGGCTTCCTGAGACGGTCCAGCCTCCCGACCAATCCTTGGTCCCCTGTGTCCCCCAGGGCCGTGTCTCTGGGGCTCCCCTCCTAGCCAGATCACCCTGGGAGAGCACCTCCTTGGGACGCCTCACTTCCTTGTTGGGCTCCCACCTGGACTAGCCTCCCACGGGCCATTCCCTGTATTCTAGACATTTCCGTCCCTTAAGACCGATCCTCTTCCAGTCGAGCTTTTGCCAAAGAGCCCTTGCCCTGGGGGTGGATCCATGGCAGGCCCTCCCACCAGCACCGTCTCCTCCTCCCAGAGCACTAACTGGGAGGAGGAGCTCAGGCACCGAGGAGCCCCCACCCTGGCCCGGCCCGCGGGGGCTGGGGGGGGGTGCGTGGGGGCGTGGGGGGTGGGGCACTCACTGGTGGCAGCTGTGCCACTCCCACGTGTGCCGTGGCCGGTTCGGGAGGAAGTCCGCGGTGCCCTGGTTCTTCACGCGCTGGGGAAAGCGTAGCAGCACCCGCACATCGTAGTCGGTGGCCTCGGGGGTGTAGGCTGTGCTGCAGGGACAGGTGGAGGGACTGGCGTGCGGCTGGGTCCCGGGGCACCCACACCCAGAATGGGCCGACTTGTCCCTGAAGATCCCGTCTACTGTCTTCCCGTCCTGTGGCTGAGGCTCAGGCCTCTCCCCAACTCTCCTGAACACACGGGCTGGGCGGTCCCCTCTTTTCTGGCTTCCAGCACGTGGCCGGCAACTACCAAGGAAGTCTTTCTCAAGTGGCATCAGGCCTGACAAGGACAATCACACCTGCAGGGGGCTCTGCTGGGGGCAGCCTCCGGGAGGGGGGGCATATCAAAATCTTTGGAGAGCTTTTTAAAAGTGGCCCTATCCAGGAGATTCTAATAAGTGGACAGAGCCCTGATTGTTGACCAAAGTACATCACGTCTCAGGTACAGGCTTGGGCTCTTCCGTGTCAAAGCCATTTCACTTTCCTGATCCTGTCTGCCTTACTGCTCCCCCACACATCCTGGGGTTCCAGCTCCAAACACTGTTTCTCCAGCAGACTTCACTCCTGCTAATCTATACTGTTGCCCATGCTGTTCATGTGACCCAGAACTCACCCAGCCTCCTAGGCCTCCTAGGAGGGAACTCAGGTTCCCTCCTCCAGGAAGTCTGCCTTGATTGCCGCACTTAGGGGCATCTTGACTGCCTGTGAGCTCTAACGGCACCTCCTATGGCCCAGCCTGATCCCATAGGCCCCCTGAGCTAGGTCAGGGTGACCAGGCCACCTTTCCCCGACTGCGCGGCTGCTGGGCCAACGACCTGCCCTTTTCTGTTTGGGGAACATGAGTGTGCTGCAGACCACCGGCTCACAATTTACTTGCTGGCCCCTAATTCCCAACCAAGACAGGCTTTGTGAGAAGAGAAGGGGGCGAGAGAGGAATGAGGGGCAGCAGCGAGGGGACACACACACACACACACACACACACACACACACACACACACACACAGAGGCACGCGCGCACCGCGCGCATCCTCGGCGCAGGCTCCGCCCTTCCCCGGAGCACTGCTGACAGCTGTCCTGGCCGGCCTCAGGGGCACTTCCCTGGCACTCAGGAGGGGCTGGGTCCTGAAGCCAGAGGCAGGAGGCGGCCAGCTGTAGGGATTAGCTCGCTCTCTGAGAGGATGTCTGCACAACAGGCGGTGCAAGCTTCTGTCGGCCAGGACGTAAGGCCCTTGGCCTTGTCTGGCGGAGGCTTGGAATCCGTCTGTGTCTGGGTTGGAACAAAACCTCCGCCTTCCCTCTGTTCAGTTCAATCCTGCCCTTCTGTTCAGCTCAGCACACCGTGGGAACCCATTAGGGCCTAGGTTCGAGGCCCAGCTTGGCCGCAGACCCGCGCTGAGACTTGGAGCGAGTCCCTTCCTGGTCTGGGTTCGGCGGCATCCGTGCACTGGTAGCGCCCTGCGGCCTGTACTTAGATGATCTCGAGCGCCCCCTGCCGCCCCAGCTTCAGTTCTGCTGGGTCTCTAGGTCTGTGCCCCCGCGGCTCGAGGCCTCCGGGGCCGGCCGGCTTTCCTCCTCGCACCTCCCCTGACAGCTCCGGCCCAAGTGCCGCTCCCACCCGCTCTCCTCCCACTCTCTGCGGCTGGGTCCTGTCATCCAGCGGACCAGGACAGACACCGGGCTGCCGGCTCCCCAGCCTATCTGGGAGTTCGGGTCTGGGCCCGCAGGATGCTCCGTGAAGATGGGGCGCTCATTTGGCTTTGACCCAAACTCCTCAAAACGCAGCCATGGAGGCTCTGACGTGCTCCCTGCTGGAGGGACTGTAGCGGGAACGTGATCATGATGCTCTCTTCCCAGGGACAACTGTCGAGACCAGACCTAATGTGCAGGCCAACTGAGTGGTACAGTGGACCCCCTTATCCGTGGTCTCGCTTTCCGTGGTTTTGGTTACCCACGATCAAAGGCAAGACATTCTGGACCAAGGAAGCAGTGAGCAAAGTTACATTCTGGAGCAAGTGCCTTATCTTGTTATGGATAGATCATGCCTCGTGCGTGAGCTACCCTGAGGGGTGGCAGTTCCGTAACTGGGAAAATGCTGAGATTCCAAAGGGCTTCCCAGATACTGAAGAGTAAAAGTAAATAAAGAATTCAAATGCAAAAACAAAAACAGACACAAGGCAGCAAGTAATTAAGAAAAATAGGTGCTCTCCAACATGGATGTAATAGATGAGGCAGGACGATGTCATCTTTAATTCTTTCAGCACAGGGAGATGTCCCTGAAGTGCATGTATTTGAACAGAATATTCACGGTTAGTACATTCAGAAGCAAGCTCTGCATGAGGCAGAATCACCCAGGAATAAAGGAGAGCTGGCTGGGCTCCCATTCCGCAGTCTTGCAAACTGGTCTCCTTGCCCTCTCTCCCCACTGCCACACATGACCGAGGCCTGTCACCGTGCTCCCTGCCCCAGCTGGAGAGCCAACCTGTCCTCCGTGGGGACGGTTCCGCACTCCTGCCCTCTATCCTGAAGGCTATTCCCCCACTGGACTTCCCTGTGTCCTTGTGAGAGCACCTTCTCATGGGGCAGCTCAGAGTGGGAAGGTTCTAGCTCCTCTTTGCTCCTCAGCTGCCTGACTGGAGAAACACATACCTTCAGGGCTGGTGTGAAGATTCAGTGCCATGGTAAAGTTCCTTGTATTGTGACCTATACAGAAATGCTCACTTGTCCCCTTCCCCTCCTGGCTCCCGGGGGGCAGGCGAGACTCACAGATGAAGAGGTCAGGGTCCTGAGAAGTTCAGGGGCTTGACCAGGGTCACTCGGCTCGTGGGCAGCCTGGCTGGCATGAGCACAGGCTCTGGCTGACTCCCAGAGACCGTCCCCACATTCCACACTTCAGCCTCGGCCCCTTACCTGGCCAGACACTTCTCCTCCGCAGCACAGCGCAGGGAGTACAGATGGGCTCTCTGCACGTAAGTGGAGGCTTGCACGTAGTTGGGGTCCGGGACCAAGTCAGGCAGACCTGGCGATGGAGTGGGAGAGATGGAGGAGGGGTGTCAGGCTGGCCACGGCTAATGCCCAGAGATGGCCCCAGCCCCAACCGCCCTTTACCATTCTCCTTCCTCTACACAGGCTGTCGCCTCCTCCAAGAAGCTTCCTAACCTGAGCCAGGGGTGTGATTGGAACGATTCCCTCTGGGCTCAGGTATGGGCCGGGGAGGTCAGGGAACGGGGGCTCCCTTCTGGAGCTCCGTGCTTGTGGGGGCCTCTGAGCCCCGCTGGAAGAGCTGGAAGAGGAGCGAGGTCTGGGAGGCAGGATGGAGTCTGGTGAGCCAGAGAACAGGAAAGGGTACACTTGGCAGGGCAAGCCTCATGAACAGGGGCCTGGAGGCAGGACGGAGTGAACCAAGCAATTTCCTGACAGAGGCACTCCCTCCATGTCCTTGTTCCCCAGGCCTCTGGATACCAGCCCCCAGATGCCCTCTGCAGCCAGCATTCTTCCTGAACCACCAGGAGAGCCCTGGGCTCTGGCCCCAAGTGGCTCCCAGAAAGCCCACGGGCAGAGCCAGGTGAGTGTTGGCTGGCGCAAGCGGGGTGGGCAGGAAGGGAAGGGTGAGCGGGAAAACACATCCCTAGAGTGGGCTGCTGACAGGGCAGGATTCTCGGCCTGGGCACCCGGCCCGACCTTCTCAGGATTCCTTTCTTCTTGCCATCGGCCCCCAGACCTAACCGCACCCTGCCCTGTCTGCATCCTCTGGCCTGCAACTTGAGGGGCCTGGCTGCCTCCCCTGCAGGGCCCTGGGGAAGTCTGGAGTCTGCTCAGACCCCGTGATCACTTGCTCCCGGGACATACTAGAGCCAGGGGCCTGTCCATCCGGCACTTCCCCCACCTCCGTGCCTGCGGCGGTCCCGAGGAGCGTGCGTTATTAGGAATTAGCAGACACCAAACTCGCATGTCCAGACCCCGTCTGCATTGGAATAAAGAAGGAATGGATCTGCTCTGGTTGCTGGGAGTGCAGGAGTGGTGGGCGTGGGGTGGGCTGGGAGGTGGTAGGGGACTCCAGAGCCCTGGGCTCTCCCCCAGCTTGGCCACCGACTTCAGGGTGAGTGAGCCTGGGGCCTCTCTGTCCCCTTGCCCTCAGGCTCCCGGGATTCTGGCAGTTAAGCGAGGACATGAGGTCACAGGTTGCTCTTGAGTTTCTTCCAAGCCCTCTGCTCTTGGGGGGCAAGTAAGGTGCGGGGGCTTGAGGCATACAGACAGCAGTCCAGCTCCTCTGGCCAGCTTTCGGGTCCTGAAGGTGAGGCAGACCCTCACACACCCATCTCTGGGGCTCCGAGACCCCAGCCCGGCTCACCCTGGGCCTGGGCCTCACGTGGGAGTCTGGTCCCTGCAGCCAGTGTGATCTCACCTACTCGGAATGAAGAGGAAGCTCGGAGCACAAGGGTGGGTGAGGATGAGGTGGCTCCTGGCTGAGGGGGGCCGTCTTGGCCAGCAGAGGTCCCATTACTCAAGCTCCAGGAATGCCTGCAGTCATTTCCCTGGGGATCCTTGGGCCCTCAAAGCAAGGGCCCACCTCACTGCCAAGCCGCTTCTCACCCTCTGGTACCCGGAAGCCTCTGGAAGGAGTGGTCCCCTTCCCCATCATCAAAGTGCCTTTCCCGCAGCAACATGTGGGGGTGGGTTCGCTGGGCCTGAAGGCTCGTGAGACCCAGTATTTGGCACCAGACGGCCTGCTACCCCCACCCCAGGCCCGGTTTCAATAAACAATGCACAGATGGCTCCTCAAAGCTTTTCTGGCCCGACCGCTCCTCTCTAGGCCATTCCATGAGCTGGCTCTGCAGTCCAGGGAAGTTTGAAGAGCCAGCTGAGTAAGAGGCCGGAGGTATTCAGGGCCAGCGAGGGCTGGTGCCCCCTCCTGGCCTATGACTGAGCCCCGACCCTGGTCCTATACTGAGTCCAAACACACTGAGGTTGGATATTGTCAACAACTCTGGACCTCAAACTCATTGTTTGTCCCCAGACTATGTACTAAAAACTCTGTACTTGAAACAGTTTTTGAGGAATTGCTTTGACATCATGAATCCTTTTTATTGTAACTGAGTGGGTGGGTTTTATTTTGTTTTGTAAGTTCCAAAGCCATGGCAGAGGGGCATCTGCAGCACCTACATGTGGGGATTCGGGAGGAAGACTACGGACAGACACCTCAGAACTGCTCCTCACAATCTGAGCCCTGGCCCTGGCCCTAGATGACCATCTTCCTCTTACTGTTGAGGAATCTCAGGTTCACAGGTAACTCCTGCTCCAGGAAGTCCTCCCTGACTGGCAGTGCCATTCCAGGCCGCACGTATGTCTGTCCCACCACTAGATCTGTCTTGATCTATAATTAGATTTCGTTGTATTTACCTGGGCCTACTCCCCTCCAGACTCTGCACTCTCTGAGGGGAGGGACTAGGTCCCACTCACCCCATTAGCAGGCAATCCACCATGCTTTGGGGCTGACTGCTTGCCCCATCACATTGGCCTCTGCCAGGCAAGTTTCTTTAATGATTAGTGGCTTAATGCTTTACTGTTCCAGTGATTGAGGGCGCTCTGCACCCTGTCCCCCGCAAGACACCAGGGCACATGGAGGTGCTGCAGGGACCAAGGCTCAGAGAGGGCGATGAATTTGCCCATGGTTGTAGAGTGGGGGCAGCCCTAGGAGAAGCTCCCCAACCCCTCCCAGGACTTCACTTATTACTCTTTTTATAGAAATGAGCTGTTTGGAAGTATAATCTAATCACAGAAATGCAGACTTAACGTTTACAGTTCAACAAATTTTGACAAATGGAGCAACGGTGTGACTTCGGCCACTATCAAGCTCTGCATTGTTTCCATCGTCCCTGAAGGTTCCCTCCTGTTCCTTCCTATTAATCCCCCTTACCTCCTCCACCACCCCAAGCAACCATTACTCTGCTTTCTAATCACTGTAGAATCTCTCCTACCATTATTTTATTTTCTTTGTTCTGTATCTCTGGCCATCACAGAGGTCCTGTGTCTCTCCCAACTGGCTCCCCCTGGCCATGCTCCACCTCTGTCACACTGGGGGAAGCTGCTGGAAAAGAGAGTAGCCTTGGAGTTCAGGCTGGATTCCCCTACCTTTGTCAGAGGAGTCCCCCTGCAGAGGTCCCTGGCCACCGCAGGCCCCTCCCTCAGCTAGAACAATGCCTCCTTCTCTGCCTGCTTTCCTATGAGGTATTCCATTAGCTTCCATGAGCAGTGGGCCCCCAGGTTTGGGCTCTCAGCCCCAGGGGGCTGGGACTTGGAGGGCACCCTGTGTTGTTAGAAGCAGGGGAGGAAAGGCATGAGCAGGGGCTTGTGGATGTAGGGTTAGGGGATTGGTTTGCTGTTTCTGGCTTAGGGGGTCCAACCAGGCCCTCCAGGCAAGATGGCCCATGTTGCCCGAAGTGCAGCTACAGCAGGACCATGTGCCCATCCCCCACCCCAAGAAGTGTACAGAAGATCCTTGAGAGAGGGTAAGGCTTACTCAGCAGGGAGAAGCCTCAGTCGTGGAGATGTCATTTTGAGGAGGGGCTGGAATCTTTTATCCAGAAAATATGGAATCATCCACCCTGGGACCTGGCACTGGAGACTCTATATAAAGTGGGTTCCAATGAGAACATCTCCCAGAGACCCCCATTTGTCTAAATGCAGACACTGAATTAAATATAATTCTCACATCAGAGCAAACTAACCATTATCGCTGGTCTGGACAAGGCCCTTCTCTTGGAATAACATTTTTTTTTTTGACCATCATCATCACCCGACCCTCTGATATATCCTTGAACATTTGTGCCTCTGTATAAAATCTGCAGTGTGTTGGAGGTAGGCATGCATTCTTGAAGTATATAAGTGATATTGTCTTAGAATCTCATTCCATTTCTTGATTTTTCAACATATAAACTTTTGAGGTCTACCTAGCTCATGATTTGTCATGGCTAAATAGGAATCCACAGTGTGCGCCCTCCATGGCTAATACAGCCAGTCTTCTTGTGTTGGGCCCCCAAGGTGGGGCCAACCACGGAGAGTCCAGGTGCATGGTTTGCTCAGGCCACCCAAGGAGTCCCTGGTCACCATCAGCATCCTGCCTTCCCCTCCCAGGAGGGAGACAGGAGCCTTGCTGCTTACCCTCCTCTGTACAGACTTTCTGTGGGAACTGGGGCTGGCATGCCCCCTCTTCAGGCCCCACTGCCTCCACTCCTCCAGCTCTGACTATCCTCTATCCCACTCAAGGCCTGGAAGAGCTCTGGGCCAGGGCCCTGTGGGCACTGTTCCCCAGAAGCAAAGTGCTGACCACGGGGTTTGGGCCCACAGGGACTCAGGCTGCAGTCTGGGCCAGGGTTGGAGGGACACCGAGGCAGAGGGGAGTGAAGGCCCTTGGGATGGCTGAAGCCAGGCTGCTCTGCTGGGGAGGGGCTGGGTGTAAGTGAATCGGGTCCCAAGGCCATTCTGCAGGCAGCCTTGGAGGGGGCCCCGTCAGACCCTCCAGGGCAAGCAAGACCCAGAGCCCAGGATAAGGACCTTCTGCATTCTGCATCCTGCATTCCTGCTCCATCCCTGGAGCTTCCTCTGAGGGGGGGATCCAGGCCCCTTCATAAGGCGCTCACAGGACTAGCCTGCCATGCTCCGCCCCCAGGCTGGCCCACATGTCAGCCTGCGGGAACCTGAGGCCTGTCTCCCTCTTCCCTGGCAGGACCTGGCTGGGGCCTTCTCTGGGAGAAACTCCAGAAGTTTGCCATTTCCTTCAAACCCCTGGTGTATAAACCCTTCCCTTTTCTTAGGCTCAGTTTCCGCATCTGGATGATGGAGAGACTTCACTAACCTGCCTGTGAGCAGTAGGCAGTTCTGCAGTTCGAGGGCTCCAAAAACACTTGGGAGATAAATATACTTTTCAGGAGCTCTTCAGTCTCTTCCCCAGCCTCGGGCAAGAGCCCAAGTCCTCTTACAACCTCTACAGACAATACTTTAGCAGCCAGGAAATTCTCC